CTGGGTCCTGTATTTGGCCTGTGTGACTGCTCTTCTCCCATCACCAGAAGGAAGTGCACCCCTCCCAGCCCCATCCCACGTGCGTAGGGTTTGTCTAGTTCCAGTCCTGGCCCAGGTTGTCTTTGCAGTTAACCTCTCACACCAGCTGGTGCCCAGTAAGCTAGAGCTCACATTTCTGTGTTCTGATTTCTAGTTCTTTGTACTTAACAAACTCATCTGTCTGAATTCCTGAGATTAGAAATATACTTGGACCTTGCACCTTTCTTGCTTAATTAGTCTCATAACTCAGGAAAACGCAAATTTCTTTTTCCCAGCTTGCCAACTTCACATCCAGTTGACTGCTTGGTTCGCCTAGTCCCAGTAACCGCCTGGTGGCCTATGTCCTACCACAGCCCTGGCGTCATACTGTCAAGTTTGCAGAGAGTGGAATAGGAAGCATTGCAGCTACTAATAAACTGCCGTGCCCCTTTCCTGGCTTGTCAGCAGTTGATAGGCTAGAACACCTTTGCCTGTTTACTTGCTTATTGCACGCCCCACTACAATGTCAGCTTCTTGGGGGCAATGAACTTGTTTGGTTCATTGCTGTTTCTCCAACACCTAGAACTGTGCCTGGCATGGTTGATTAAATGCTTTTGAATTTTATGATAGGCAAGGTAGGGCAGGGAGAGAGCTGAGGGGCAGAACATCGCTGGGAGACAAGGGCAACTGCTTCCCTGCACATACTCAGAGGTGTCCCTGGCTCTGTTGTCATCCTGGACGGGAACACCTGGGCAGAGAAGATGGGAACACCTGGGCAGAGAAGATGAATGCATGCTTGCTGGGATCTTGTGGATTGAGGCTCATTTCTGCTGCTTTCAGGGCAGTGTAACAAAAGGGTGGGGCGAACCCCCAGTGAAGGGACTTTCTTAACAAGACCCAGCAAGTTTTGCATGCTTGTGGGATCTTGGGAAAGGTTTGGAACTGGAGGGGAGGACTCAAACAGCCAGCTTGTCCTCCTCCCAGGTGACGAGAAGCATTTAAGGCTGTAAGCACTAGATTAAATTGTAGCCACAATCTATCTCCAAGGGGAAGAAAACAGAACATTTGCAAAAGTTCAAAAGGATTGATAAGGGGGAATATCACTGCATTGATAATGGTTTGTTATAAATAACCGAGAATGCTTTGGTAAAACAAAGGACTGTGTTTTGGATAGGGGAGTTGAGATCTGCCCTATGCACCTGTTTGCTTGTTTTGGTGCACAGCTCTTTGAATCAGTTTCCAGGAGACTGGCGTGGGGGGTGGGGGTGGGGGAGAAGTAGGGGATGGGGAACTGAGGCTGCTCAGGAACGTCAATGCTTAGTAGAGGAATGGACTCTTATTTGGTTAGTTTTTATAAGACCAGATCTGGCTCTGTGTGTGTGTGTGTGTGTGTGTGTGTTTTAATATGAGGCCACAATGTCTACACTGCTGTAGATGGTACAAGGAAGAGAAATATAGGGCAGAAACAGTTTCCCAATAAGGTAGAATGACTTAAAGGTACCAAATAACTATATGCCAAGATACGGAATATGAGATAACTCAAGGTTGTGGCTCTAGAATTCTGAGTCCTGGATGAGGAGACGATTTTGCTAGCTCTTCGAAATACCCTGGAGAGAAGTGTGGGAGCAGCGTATGTCGAGGCCTCCTGCGTGTTGCCGGCAGGACTCTGCTCAGCATACGTGTACCTTGAGAAGAACAGGGCTGAAGCTGGATCTTAGCAGGGGCAACAGACTCTGCCTTTTGGGGGAACATTCTGCCAAGACACCAGAGCACTTTCCTAAGCATGTCGGGATGACAGCTGCCTTTGCGTAATCTGGACACCTGAGCTGGCCCCATCAGTCAGATTTGACATGCCTTACACGCATGTATGTTTGAATGTGATATGTCGTTAAGTCTAAACTCCAACCTGCCAACTCTGGATAATTAATCAGTTATATTTACGAACGCCTATGGACACATCTAAATTCATTTTATGAAATACCTGAGGATCTAAATAAAATAATATAGACTTTCAATAAATCATCATGCTGATTAAAATGCACAAGAAGCACCATTCTTGGTGGTGGTTATAGTCTATTTTCTTAGCTTATTCCATCTTATAGAGACGATTCATACTCACAACATTCCCAACTTCTCTCTCTTCAGGTGCTCATATAATAAAAAAATAGTTCCTTGTCTGTCCTGTAAAATTTGGGTGGGGAGAAAAGAGATAGCATATTACTTCGAAAATAAAGAAAATGTTACTAGCGCAGAACGACTACTAAGACCACAGAGATTGATTTGAACTGAAGTCTAGAGCCACCTTCACACTGTGAGAAGCACGTTCGCAAAGGCTGCCTCCAGCACATGGAGTAGGTACCTTCTAGGACAGCGTTTCCTAGTACGATCCTCGGAACACCTGTATCGGAATCGTCTCGTGTGCTTTTGAAAAAGGCATTTTCTTGGGCATCATCCAAGCTCAGAATCCTTGGAAGGAAACCTGCCTTTCGTGGGTGATTCTTGCACACATCAAAATTTGAAAACCACTGTTATAAGAGCAGTGGGTAAAAAAATATAGGGAAGCAATTTGTGTAACTGTCCAAGGAAGGTGACCAGGAGTCTTCTTAGCCTCCATCCAGAGAGAATAACAGAAGTAAAAGGCTTATACAAAGGTGTTTTTCCTTAATACCCCCTGAAATAATTCAGTATTTTATTTTACATGTGAGAGATGTAAGAGTCTACAAGCAACTCACCAAAGTAAACCTCACTGTAAACAACATTTTCCCAAGGCAGCTGCTATCTGTCTATGTACCCCAGTTTCTCCCTAGACAATACGCTGTCAGATTCCCAGCTGCTGTTTCCTACTCAGGCCTGTTTCCCCAGATAGGTAGCATCTTAGTCTATAGATCTCTTTGTTTGTATTTATCCATCTTTCCCCGCCTTCGACCATATTTAAAATTTTACTGTGTGTAAAATTCTTTTCGAGCTTGGTATTAGAAAGCACCATAATAAATAATTTTTTGCTATGTAAACTTGCAAAGTCATTTGTTTTAAGCCTCGACATCCTCATTTACTAAATCAGAACAGGAATATCTACCTTTCAAAGTTATTGCGAGGATGAAATAAAACATGTGAAAATATTTTACAAGGTATAAAATGCTATCAAATAATATTATAAATAACTATGGACTAGAAAGAAAGAAAATAAATTATCTGCTCAGCCTTCATCACTCAAACACTGGTGGAATGGGTAACTACAATAAGTACTCCATTTGGGAAGGGAAAGAATGGGAGAGGAACAGAAGACAGGGGTCTGTAGCAACTGTGAAACCCCACCAGGCAGACATTGCCGGGGCCCCTATCCTTTGGGCGGGAAATGTTCATGGGTGTAGGCCTCATTCCACTGGCTCCATGAGGCTCTCTGAGACTTTCCTCTCTGTGGTCCTTGGCTTTGCCTTCTGGGATTTTACTCCTTTTCCATAATCATCCTTGGCCACGTCTGAAGTGGACATTAGAGATTACGCCTTCCTTAGCTCCTCATCCGTTTCCTCCCTGTAGATAGTTGGGAGCCCGAGCGTTGTTTTATGTCTTGATCAGTGACAGTCTCTTTTAATCCAGACTGATACTTCTCTTAAGCTCTCTCAAAAACCGAGTTGGTTTCTAATCTATTTGATTTCAATTAGCTACAAGTACGAATAGCTACACGTGCAGTTCTTGTCTAGATAGACTGCTTAGATTTTTTATATTTCTTTGCTTTCCTGTCTCTCTTAATTTCAGGTATTTTAATGCCTATCAGGCTTCAGTAGGAGAGCTACACCCTTTGTCTCTTTTTCCTAAGTGATTTTTGTCTAAAGGAAAATACTTACTGGAGGTCATAATCTTTGTTGGATCCTTCCTCTAAGATACCTTAACTCTTTCAGAGGTTTTAATAGCAGGATAGAGTCAAACCTGTACTTTGACCCTTACTGAAAGGCTGAATTTTAATTGGCTTTTGTTGTGCAAATGAATTTTCAATTTTTTTTTATTGTTCCAGTATCTCTCTATTCCCTTTCATTTCTGTTTACACAATGCCTCATTCATTTGAAAGTTTATATTTTTTGTGTATATACTTTGCCAAATGCAAGCAGCCGTGCCCAACATACACTATTAACATTATATTTTCCAACTGCTTCTTGTAGAGCTGTAGGTATATTAGCTGTATTATTTGCTTTCCAAGTTATTGCAGGTGACACTTTTACTAAATATGTCAGCACTTCATAACACGTATTGTCATCTCTCTAGTTTCCATGAACAGTTTCCTTGCTACTCATTGCATGAACACTAAGTCGATACCAAAATTTTAGGTTTTGGTTTTCAGAACATTTGATACTAATTTCAATATCAACCAGGTAGGCTGGGTTATACTGTAGTAATTTAAGAAAACCAATTCTTGGTTGTTTATAACAACAAAAGTTATAGTTCTTGCGCATGCTCCATTTCCCACATGGACTGGCACAGGTCTCTGATCACTGTTGGTACACTCAGGGACCCAGGCTGAAGGAGGCTCTGTCTCAATGTGCTTCCATGATTTCCAAGGCATGAAAAAGCATATGGCAGCTCATGAAGTGGCTCCTAAAGTCTTCTGCATAGAAAGGACACCTATCACTTCTGCTCATATGTCACTGGCCCAAACAAGTGACTTGGCCATGCCTAACTTTTGGGGGAGGGCTGAGGAAGTGGAATCCTGTTATGTGCCTAGAAGGAGGGAATCAGAATATCTGTGAGCAGCCCTGATGATTCCCACCATGGCGATCCCCTGGCCCGAGGAAATGACTGTTGGCCGTTGTGGAGCTACTTAGGACCATGGCACACCGCCTGTGTGTGTGTGTGAGACCAGCCCTGCCCCACACTGCTGTAGGCAGTAAACATGACGCCTTTCTCCATATGGCTTGCATTGCAACTTCATTTCATTAGGAAATCAGTGGGGGCTTTCTGTAGCATTACAGAAATACCAGGAATGAAACCCACCAAGTCACTTACAAACTCAGCAATGCTCCCTTCCGATATTCATCAAGGAAAAATAAACTCATACAGTGATCTCATTTTCTTTTTTTTTCCCTGAGACTTTGGACAAGAACATCATTTGAAATTCTGTGATAGTAATTGGAAGAAAAACAATGTTGGGTATAAGGACTTTTGAGGATTCTCCTTTTGGGAGCATCAACAATGATGTATTATTAATGTTACTTTCTTTCTCTGCAAAGAGCGCCCACATTAAATTCAACCAAGAGTGTGAGCAGGTAGCAGAGGTTATGATGGAATTTGGGTACGTGATCTTTTTAGACTCAGCATAACCCAAAGAGGCAATAACATTCTAAGAAAGTTAATTGTTAAGCATATTTTTTTTTCCTCCTTTGTAAAGTGGAGACAGCCACAGGGGCTTTGAAGACAAGTTTGTGCTTCTCCAGCTGAAGACTATGTAAGAGGTACCTACATGGAACATTTCATTTGAAATAGATTCCAGAATTCATGGATTGGGCTGGTAATAATATTTTAGAAATAGAGACAGTGGGAAATAGTCCTTAGGCGGAAAAGGGCTCATAGCAGGCACCTCGGTGTAAGAGAAAGAATAATGCTTGGCTTTGTCCACAATTATGGGCCAAATGTCATTTCCACGAAATGCCTGCTAAGTGACCTTGGGAAAGCACTTAAAGTCTTTGAGCCCAAAGTCCTCACTGTACTATGGTAGAAACAACACCTTCTTGCAGGACAGACACGAAGAGTGGATGAGATAATGAAGTGAACCTGCTCGCTAGTCTTGGTGGACAACGCACAGTAGGTGCTCAGTGAACGTGGGCTCAGCACGGGCCTCCCCGAGGAAAAGCGATTAAGAGCGAATGAAAAGTCCTGACCAGGTACGCCCCGGGGTCTGACAAGATGAGAACCATCTCAGGAAAATAAAGCAAGAATAATTTCTAAAATTTTTGAGTAGTTATCTGACTCCTTTTCACCTCGGAATTTTATGGCTCCATTTTTTCTTCTCTCTCTCTCTCTCTCTCTCTCCTTGTACTTTCACTTATTATTTGCTCTTTTTTGCCCCCAGTTCCCCCTCCATCCTTTTTAATGGATCTTTCCAGTCTCTGGATTTTATCCTCTCTCTTCTGTTCTCTTTTTATTCTTCGTGTTATCCCAATCACTCCGTTGCCCCCACTCTGTGTTTCTCTTTTCCTCCCATTTCATCTTTCATCTTTTTCAGGTTGTTTAGCCTGGGTGGCCCGGAGGCAAGTCTGTGAAACTGTGCCATGTCTCTGTCTGCCTTCTCTGAAGCTCTCTTCAGCGAGCTCCTGATGCCCGTGGACCCCCTTCCTCTGCACCATCCACCTGCTTCCCCGGTCATAGTGATCTCTTTCCCCTACTACAATCTGCTCTTACAAATGGAGCTGATCAACTCAGAAAGAAAGATGTAAATAAAGTTTGATGCTTTGCTTTTCCCAAGAATACTAAAACTTCGATCAAATACAAAGCTTTGTGCCTAAGAAATAAATCTCTAATAATCATTTCAGGCAATAGAAAGTGACCAAGCACATTTTCTTTTGGGCAGGAGACTTTCCCTGCCAAATATAAACTACTCACAGAGCTTGTTATGTTTTGATATTTTAGAAGAACGTAAAATAAATAGACTCAGATAAAGCTAGAGTTAGACTTAGCCACCTTCTGGTACATGGAAATGTATCAGTCTAATCAGTTTGGGGCTAAAAACTATTTAATTCAAAGGGATTATGTGCAGCAGATGCAACAATTAATTTCAGGTAAATCAGTTCAATCTGGCTTTTTTGTTCTTCCTTATTTTATCAATTTTAATGTAATTTGCCAGGGACTATGAACTCCATTATATGTGTCTGCAAACAGCATGAATCAATCTAACCAAAGGGCCTTATGCACTGTGACAACACCCTGGCAACTTGGTGGGATTGCCAAGTGTCCGCCAGACCACTCTATTCACTGTCGGTCCCGTGCTTAAGGTCTGCCTGCTTTTCAAGGGCCCATAAAAATATTTGATCCCTGGAAAGAATATTAGTTCTCAAGTATGAAAAATATAAATTAATAAATGTAATACTGAATATCTATAAATCAAAACATTTGATCCATTGGTTACTGCCCCATTCTTACTTCATTATATATACATTATATTTAATATGTTTGATGTGATGGGGGACAGTTATTCCACAAGTAAACAGTGCACAGGGCCACTCAAGGTCTTTTTAAGACCCTGAGGGTCAGAGATTTGAAAATCTGAATCAAAGTGGGAAAACATGAAACTGTTTCTCTAGAGTAACATGAGTCTCTGGGCACGAAGTGGAGGCTCTATTTTAGGTAGGAGACATTACATCGTACTTGCCCCTCTCCAGCTATGTTAGGATGAAGCAGCTGGGCAGAGGCCCCAGGTATCATTGGAAATAGACCAGAAATGGAGGAAGCTGTTATTATCAGAACTCTTTCCAGAAGAAAATTACTATATGTAGGTAGGAGGATGCCATGGACTGAATTGTGTCCTAAGCCCTATTGGAGATAAAGCCTTTAAAGAGGTGATTAAGGTTAAATGAGATTATAGGGGTGGTCCCATGATTGATAGAACTATTGTCTTTATTTTCATTTTTTTAAGAGATGGGGTCTTGCTATGTTGCCCAGGCGGTCTCAAACTCCTGGCATTAAGTAATTCTCCTGCCTCCGCCTCCTATGTAGCTGGGACTGCAGGTGCATGCCACTGCACCAACTAAACTAATGTCCTTATAAAAGAGACACCAGAGATCTTTCTCTATCATGTGAGGACAAGGCAAGAAGACAGCCAACTATAAGCCAGGAAGTGGGCTCCTACCAGGAACCAAACTACCATTGCCTTGATCTTGGACTTCACAGCCTCCAGAACTGTGAGAAATAAATTTCTGTTCTTTAAGTCACTTTGTCTGTGCTATTTTGTTTTGGCAGCCCGAGCAGACTAAGACAGAGGGTATTCATTGTTAAGCAGCTGGAATAGGGTCAGGAAGCTCAGGGAATGCTTCAGGTTCAAGATATGGTCCCCAAATACCTCCTAAATCTGGTGAGCTACATGGCTTTTGCTTTACCAAGGTTGAGTGTGCAAGTTTGGGGACAGAGCTGAACTTCCCAGGACTAACTGCTGCCCTCTGAGGAGCTGCCTTTCTGCCCTTCCCCAGGCAGTGCTTGGCTCTCCTCTAAATACACGTCCAACTAATACTTAAAGAATATCTGAGGAGCACCAAGTACTCGCTATACCTAGATCACCCACAGGCCCGTATTTGGTCCAACCCTGGTCAACTGTAACCCTTCATACCTCGAGGTCATAGCCGATGCCATGGGCCCTGCATAGCTGGAGGAACACGTAGTGGAAAACTAGTGAGAGATTGTTGTGCCTCAGCTGGGTGGTCGCCACTGCATAGCGACTGGTTGCCAGGGTCTGCAAAGAGCACAGCTGAAGGTTAGGCTCTTTAAACACGCACTTAAATAAGCTTTTAATTCTAGAATAGTTGTAGATTGACAAGTAATTGCAAAGATAATTCAGAGAGTTTCCATTCCCCAACCCCCACTTCTACCGTTAACATCTTATGTCGCTGTGGTACATTTATCGCAGCTAAGGAGCCAAATTGCTGCATTACTGTCACTTTAGTCCATGCTTTATTTGGATTTCATCGATTTTCCCCTAATTCTCTCTCTCTCTTTTTTTTTTTTTGGTTTAGGATCCCATCCAAGACATTTAGTTGTCATATATTCTCGGGTTTCTCTGGGCTGTGACAGTTTCTCAGACTTTCCCTGTTTTTGATGATCTTAACAGTTTGAGGGGTACCGGTCAGGTATTTTGTAAACTGTCTCTCAGTTTCGGTTTGTCTGATGTTTTCCTCCTGATTAGGCTGATGTGTTTCTGAGAGAAGCGCACAGAGGTAAACTGCCATTTCCATCACCTCGTATCACGGGAACCTGCCATCAGCTTGACTTCTCCCTGACGGCGTAACTTTTATCACCCGGCTGCGGTAGTTTTTGCTGCCGTAGCAATCCTTTACAGGGTTCTCCACAGTGAAGGTACTTTCCCTCCTTCCCCTTCTATACCCTTTGGAAGCAGGGCAGTGAGCGTAGCCCACCTCCTTGGGGTGGCCAGTGTTAGAAGTTTGACACTAACTGCTTTCTTGTTTAGGAAACTGCTACTTATCTTGTTTGCGGGGGGTGGGAGCCCTCCCAAAGAGACTGGTCTAGCAGGCCCAGAATGTTGTGATTATATACTTCCTAACAGCATTTACAATTTAATATGTACGAAATAAAATATTCGATCCTGGCAGTTGTGTAGCATGTTCTGTGATGTTTGCCTCTGACAGTCAGCCGTGTTTCCCTTTGGAAGGCAGGAAGTGTGGAGAACTGCATACGGGGCCATGAGCAACCTTAGGGCGTAGAAGGTGGAGGTGCCTGGCCCAACTCTTGAACTTTGGGGACCCTCAGTCCCCAAAGCGCTGGGCAACCAGACACCTGGACTAGTGCAGTGACTTGGAACAGGACAGGAAAAGGAGGACTGCGGGTGTAACGCTGGCCATAGGCATCCTAAGTGACCTGACATTGGTGAGGCCTGAGGCCTCCCTCGGCCTCTGGGATGGCGCAGGCGGGTGGGGCCGGTGCCCTGCAGAGAGGGGACGTCAAAGCACACAGATTCTGTGCTCACTTTTGTGACATGCTTCCCTCCCATGTGGCGTCTTTCCTTCAATATTCACATCAAGGGCTGTATCTGAGGGTCACGTCACCAGCCACTACCCAAGGCTACTCGTCCCACGTGTGAGCAGAGTCCACGTCTACAGGAGTGCTGGACGCCCACGGGCCGATGCCTGTCGTGTGGGCACCTCCATTCGTGTCGCCCCATTCGTAGACATTGGGATTTTTTCCCTCTTAATAAAAGAAAATCTATTTGACCCTCGTATGCTTCACAACTGTACTCGATCACCCTGACCTGTCATAAGTTGTCCCCCTGGCCATTTCCCTGCCATCCCTGGGAGTTTCCTGGGGACAGGCACTGTTTGGTTTCTGAATCTCCAGGCTAGGCATGACGCTAGCACGAAACAGGCGCCCAGAGCTTACCGAGTGGATACAAGAATGAACACATGATGCAGATCAGGCGGACAGCACTGCCCTCTGACTTAAGAAACTCTTCAAAGGATGTCATGCAAGAGGCTGCCAGTCGATCAATGCTTAGGGGCACAAGCAGGTGATTTACAAGGCACAGAGGACAGTCCTGTCAGCCCTAGAGAAGGATGAAGGACAACTCAGGGCAATCACTCCAGGCCTTGGCCCCTGGAGGACACCGTGGCTCTGGGGAACCAAGCAGGAATACTCGGGGGGGTGACAAGAACTGGCTAAGAGAAGTTCTAGCTCAGAGGGTTAGTCAGTCTGGAAGGGCAGGGCCACCAGGCCTGCTCGCCCTGCCATGCCAGGCTGGCCGCGCTCCTGCCTGTGCAACGAAGGCCCAGAAGCCTGAGCTTTTGCACATGGAAGTGAACTGTAAATACTCTGGAATTTCATTGTGGTTATTGAGCATGTAATTGCATGGTAATTGCCATGAATTCACAAGATAATTCCAAGGTTATTTTTGTCTTCCAAACTTGTCTTATGCTGCCATAGTATATTAACAAGCAAAACCAAGATCAGGCCCCGGTCGGCAAGAGAGGCAGGCAGGCAGGCATCTGGTAGCAGGATCAGCTCAATGCTATGTGTCTTGGCTCCAAAGCACAGCAGAAGAGCTCCCTGCCCATAGCACATGATTACTGGACAAGTAAGGACAGGCCACCCTGAGGTTTATTCCTCTCTGTGGATGCAGACTGAAATCCCCCCTCCCCCCAGACCTGAGATGGTGACTTATAAAGAAGCTGAAAGAAGAACCAGGATATTTGGTTCATGTCTCCCAGCTGCCTCTGCTTTTCCATGACCGTCCTAGTCCAGATCTTTATTGCCTGGAGAGCGGGAGGTGAGGATGCAAGTAGGATTCTCCCATCCACGTTCTAACCAGCCCCAACTCTGCTTAGCTTCCGAGATCAGACAAGATCAGGCATGTTCAGGGTGGTATGGCCATAGACTGCAAGCAGGATTCTATGGTGGAGAGGTTGTACAGGGTCAGAAAGACTGAGGTTCAAAACCTGACAAGGCCAGGTTGTGTGATCTTGTATGCATCCTTTAACTTTCTTGACTTTTTATTTTTTGGTAGTGATGGGGTCTTACTATGTTGCCCAGGCCGGTTTCGAACTCCTGGCCTCAAGCAGTCCTCCAGACTCAGTCTTGCAAAGTGCTGGGATTACAGGCGTGAATCACTGCATGCAGCCCTTCTCTGACTTCTGAGGATTAAATAAGCACCTAGTACAGTGCTTCATAAGTAGTAGCTACTATTTTTGTTGCTGTTCTATTTTCGTTGCTGTTCTTTTGAAAGGAATTTGGACCTACACTAAATGTAATTTCCCAGGCTGATTTCCTTCCCCCCGCTGATGCTCAGAATCCCAGCCTCCTGGGATTCTGAGCAGTACCCACAGATTGACTGCTTTTCCCAAACCCGGGGTAGTCAATGCCATTCTCCTTCTCAGAAATCTTCGGTGTCTTCTTCTTGCCTTCAGGATGAAATCCAGACCCCGGCGTGGCGGGCAGACCCTCTGCACCTGCGCAGTGCACCACTCCCACCAGTTCTGCTGCCCCCCTCGTCCCAGGTCCTCTGCTTTGGCCCAGCTGCTTCACTGCCTTCTCCCGGCAGATCTCCGGCTCTCTCCAGGCTCTGTCCCCTTTGCTGAGGGAGGTCTCCCATCCTTGCCGCTCCGTGACTGCCCTCGGCCTTAAGGCAGGACCACGTTCTATATTCTCAGTAAAGTGTCCCTTGTCCCTGCCAGTCCACAGTCATTTCTCCAGAGAACTCCAGCAGCAGGTTGAGGGTCTGTCACTCAAATGGCACTTAAATGAGGCCTTGTGGTTTTCCCCGGTGTTTTTTGTTTTTTTGTTTTTTTTAAGTCAGAGTCTCATTCTGTTGCCCAGACTAGAGTGCCGTGGCATCAGCCTAGCTCACAGCAACCTCAAACTCCTGGGCTCAAGCAATCCTCCTGCCTCAGCCTCCCAAGTAGCTGGGACTACAAGAATGTGCCACCATGCTCAGCTAATTTTTTCTATATATTTTAGTGGCCAATTAATTTCTTTCTATTTTTAGTAGAGATGGGGTCTCGCTCTTGCTCAGGCTGGTTTCCAACTCCTGACCTTGAGTGATCCGCCCGCCTTGGCCTCCCAGAGTGCTAGGATTACAGGCGTGAGCCACCGCGCCCGGCCTTTTCCTGTGTGTTTGTGCTATTTCAATATCAACCTCTTTGCTTTCCAACTCCTTGAAGAAAGAAACCTTGTTAAATGTCTTTGTACCCCTGATGCTTGGTGAAATTCCTGGCACATATTAAGTGCTAAATAAATATGTTATAATGCTAATGATGAACATACAAGATACATCCACTTTTTAAGACTTAACCAATTCCACGGTTTCTGCAGAAAAAAACTGTTGATCATGACATGTTGTCTTATATAGGCTACATTTTGGGTATGAAAAGGGGAAAAGAAACATCTGGATGTGTATTTACTTGTATATGCAAAAGATCCTCTGAGGGGATAAATAGCCCCTGAGAATGGTGGTCACCTTTGTGGGTAGGACCGAGGTGGGAACTGGGCAGTGGGAAGGACACTGGCCAATGTATGACTGCTTCCACTTTTTGCCTTTTGAACCATGTGAGTACAATATGTACTTCGAAAAATTAAATAAGAATCCCATTAAACTTGGTTTTGAAGACAAGGTTTGCAAATATATATTTCACGCATATCTTAGTGTATGAACTATTTATTTTTAGAAAAACATAGTCAAACTTTTCTATATGGTTCATGAAATGGACATGATCTTTTCCATACTCTTTGTTATTTATTTGAAAATCTGTGCCATCTAGGAGACTGTTCCATATCTGCTTATATTTCCTTTTTAAAACCCATGACTCCTCCATGACCATCCTGCCCATTCAGTGCTGCTGAGTCTTGGCCGAGCTCAGAGCGGATGAGAAGCCAATGGATAATGGCAGTATGCCTGGAAACAACATCATCACAGGGGAAATGAATCCCCCTTTGGAAAAATGGTTTTTTCTATGGCCTCAGCAAGAGACTTCTTCGGGAATGAGCTTCAGCTCCACTCGGGGGCCGGATCATCGACTCTCAGCCACTGAAAGGCAGGTTGGGTGGCCCAGTGATTAAACACACCGGCGGAGGTTAGATCCCAGCCGCACTGCGTGCTTGCCTAGTGACCTGTAATGAGTTGCTTATCCTCTCTTAACCTCAGTCTTCTTCTCTAAAAATGAACATAATAATAGCGCCTGCCTAATATATTGGACTGTAAAAAGATTCATGTAAAGCACTTAGCAAAGTACCTGGGGTGGAGTAAAGGCTCCACACATTTCGGATATTCTTATCATATTAATACATGCATTATGGTTATCTGCTCGGCTATCTGTGTACTTTGATAAACCTGGAGCTCTCTGACACTCAGCCTTTTCTGTTTGTTTGTTTGTTTTAAGACAGAGTCTTGCTCTGTCACCCTGGCTAGAGTACAGTGGCATCATCATAGCCTGCTACAACCTCAGACTCGACTCCTGGACTCAAGCAACCCTCCTGCCTCAGCCTCCCAAGTAACCAGGCCACTGAGCCCGGTTAATTTTTTCTATTAATATTTTTAGCAGAGACTGGGTCTCGTTCTTGCTCAGGCTGGTCTTGAACTCCTGACCTCAAGTGATCTTCCCGCTTCGGCCTCCCAGAGTGCTAGGATTACAGGTGTGAGCCACTGCACCCGGCCTCATTCTCTTTAATTTTTAGGTAATGGTTGGTGAGGACCTTTTACAACAATATTACCTCTTTCTAGAAGATTCTACAAGAAAAAGACCTTTTAAGGGAAGGCTGCGGTATAGAGGTATGGGCCCTTCCCGTGTCCCCTCATGGAGATGTCCCTTCCTTCCGCCCTCCGTAACACACGAGGTTGCCCAGGCCAGCCTTGGTACAGAGCCCCTTTCCATAGGCCCCAAAAGATTAAATCCCTCAAGAGAGCTTGGAGATCATTTCGCCCTCCCTTATTTTACAAATGAGGACAATGGCACTAGAGAGATCAGAATTTGGGATCTCTCTTGATGTCTCAGACTAGTGCTCTTCACTACCAATTTCCACTGGCCACATTTGGAATGTGTGCGAATTTCAGAGGTTAGCTTTTTCTGGTAAAACAGGATAAAAAAAAATAAAAGACAAAAGATTATTGGTGGAAGTCTAGTCTTATTAAACTACCTTTCTAAATCACAATCTAACAAGAATGCTTCCAGCCAAATAAAGGAAGCTTGAAATACTCCTTTTCACTGGAGAATATAATTTTATTTCAGCCACAATTTAAATTGATTTAGTTCTGAGCGCCAGCACTTGAAGTGTGGAGCATATTCTATTTTCGCCATGATACTTGTTTTGACAGTGATGCATTTCAGTTGACATAGTTGAAATCCTTATGTAATAAATCTCTGCCTGAAAATTAATCATGTTTATAATATTCTGAGAATTAATAACACCCATTGCTCAAATCATTAACTTAAAAAAGGAGCTTCCAAAATCTGTCCTCAGCAGTAAGGGACCACAAATAAATGAATGTTTGATAAAATAATCCAAGTAGCAGTTTAACAAGCGTAAACTCGAATGTGGCTGCAATAACACAGAACTATTGTTTAAGGGTTGGCAGAGGCTGATGAGGTTCTTATTTCAGTTACGAAGCAGGCATCCACATGCATAATGAACTGCTCTCTGAATTATTAATGTGTTGCTTATTTAGCCTCATCTGTCTAGAAGATAATGTATCCTAACTCTAATGAGTGATTGGTTTTGTACATAATTACAGTAGCAGCAGTCGCAGGGAAATGTGCGCCTTCAAAGAAGGAGTTCTAAAAATAAAGTCATCACATAAACTCTGTTGTTGTTGCATTCTATCAAAATCAAACCCGAAGCATTTGAGAATTTATAATAAATTACAGGAGACAGAATCATTATTAACATCATAATTTAACACAAAAGGTTTTACTTAATCATTCATTACAGATCATGTTCTGTTAAAATGCGAATAAATGACTTGGGTTGTTTTAAGATGTTTGCAAAGATGTTCCCTTCCGGCCACTCGGCAGCCATGGTGTGGAGGGCCCAGAAAGAAAGAGGAAGAGTGAAAACCGACGGAAAAGGGAATGGTTTATGCCGATTCTGACAAAATATTAATGACAAGTTAAAACATTGTTAGGTGATTCCTTTTCGTTTCTAAAACATGCACATCTGGGATTTTCCAGGTTTATACCTTTAAGTGGTTATTTAGGGAGGTCACTGGATTAGAAGCCCAACGACCTGGTCTAAAAGGCTCTAATTGACAATCCTGCCACCTGTTTCTGATACGGACAAGAGCTCCTCTGAGAGTCCAGAAAAGATTTTGCTTTTCCCTGGTATAGCATGCTATTAAAGGAACAGGCCCAAACTGGAAGCATTTCATCGGTATTAGTGCTGATGCGCTCTCATTCTCATTGCGGTTCTGTCTGTTTCCTTTTTCTTCAGTCTTCAAAGGGGGCTGTCAACTGACTGATCGTAAACCTGACGGCTTAACAGTCTGTTCACACTTGTTCAGGATCCTTCGGTTTGCTTAACAATTGTACTGTGTGTGTGCCTGTGTACACGCTTCTTTTAAAAAAATAGCCTATCGTGCAGGTACACGTGCACGGGAAAGTGTGCACACACACACGGGCACCAGGGTGCAACGGCCATGTACATCTTTCTGAAAGCAAAAGCACTTTCAGTTTATCCCTACATCAGAAAACCTGCAGAGCTTTTCTTCAGTGACGGAAGAGGCATTTGCCTTATTGAAGATCGTAATGCCTCCCTTCCGTGTGTGTGCAGCTCCTAAAAGTGTTTAAGACTCTCAATCACAGGAGGACTCCCATACCGTCTAGCCTGTAGCTAGGAACGAAACCTACAGCAACACGGGAAAATGGGAGAGTGCTTCTAATTCAAAGTACCACTTCTGCTTACAGCCTTCGGAAACAACATACTTAAATGCAGCAAATCGTCTTCAGAAGTCTTGTGTTGAACACCATCTCAGCTTCCAGGCTCCTTTTACAAATGGCATGGTGTTAAGCTCCCCAGCCAGAAGTCTGACTGCTGTCTCTCCTTCTAACTTTGAATTTAGGGCCCCGCAGGTCCCTGTGGTGAGGACAGAGGCTGTAGGTGGGGTCAGACCTGGGGAATTGTCAGCAAAGTCCTGGGACCTAATTAAAAGGGGTCTGTTCTCCCCAGTCCAACTCTGCTTCTGTTCTTAATAAGTGACAAGATCAAGAGGATGCCTGTGAGCAAGGTCCTTGCTAGCACCTCACTGAACAAGTGGCTGAGAAGGAGGGGAAGGAGGAGCCCCCCAAGACATTAGGCACCTCCCTCTAGGATGACCCTGGAGACCCTGGGCAGAGTCAAACAAAGGTTCTTTAGATCCAGAGGCATCTGCTGGACCCGAAGAGGTTCAGCAGAGAGGCAGGAGACACTGCTCTGAAAAGGCACCTCTGGGACACCGGTGTGGGGTCCTATGAGCCACTGGAGCTCCTCTTTCAACTGTGTGACGTATTCAGACTTCAAGTAGAGCTTCATTTGCAAAAAGGGTGTGAAGCCCACTGTTGTAGGAGGAGGCAGAAGAAACTCTCTGGCGGCTGTCGGAGCAGTTGTGGCCAGAAAGTCCCCAAACACTCTTACACTGAGGGCCATCTGGGCCTCCTGACCTTTGCTCTCTCGCCCCGTGACCACCTTAGCCTGCTGGACCAAGCACCCACTGTCCCCACGGAGACCTGCCCTCTGTTACGCAGGGTGCTGTGGTGGGCAAACCTCTGCCCCAGCCCCGGGACCCTGGCCCCTGCCACCCCCCCGTGGGGCTAGTGAGGAGAAAGGGGGCTGTGGCTGTGGGAAGAGGCAGATCGTGCGGGGCTCACAACCAAGCAGGAGGTGGGGGGTCCTGAAGGTCGCAGGAGTCTTTTCAAATCACAGGTAGGGGAGCAACATGCTCAGACCTGCTTCCGCCCCTGCTGCCTGACTGCAGTGTCCGTTTAGGGTGAGGGAGAGGCAGGCGGCATTACAATCCTACTGTCAGGCCGTGAGAGCCGGAACTGAGGCGGGGTCTTTGTGCAGGGGGCGGAGGGGTCAGGTTGAGGTGTTTCAGCAGGTAGACTCTACATGACTTAGTTGCTATATAGATGTGGGGCTTGGGGATTTCTTAGCAGCCTCTGGCCTGATCCACCAAGAGGAAGGACAGGAAGAAGAAAGATGATGGATGCAGTTTTGGACAGCTGGACCCGAGGACTGCAAGCAGAGAAGTTCTGGTAAGGGAGGCAATGGGTACATGTGCACACGTGCCCAGGGGAACAGAAGAGAACCCCACACTCTGTCCCGTGTCTGCACGCTGCTTTGTCTTTTTGGAGTGCCCTACCCCCTTTCCTCTGACCAATACGCCCACATTCCTGGAACCCATTTCAGAGAGGTCCAGTGACTTGCCTGAAGCTCTCTCTTCCTCCTCTATTCAAAGAGCCTGGCACATAGACACAGCCCGGTAAGCGGCAGTTGACTGCCGCTGAACGCTGAGAACAATCGAGAAGCATCTGTTGCTTACCGGCACTGAGACACACTTAGTGGGGTTCATTTTCTTTTCACTCTTTGGAACAAAGCGGGGCACTTCGAGGGTGCCCAAGCTGCAGTCCAGATGGCCATTTGTCAGGTATAAGATGAGTTGAGTCAGGGCCAGCTGGTCACTATAGGCGAGGTTAAGGCCGGTTGCCCACACCTGATTAAAACAGGAACCGAAAACGTGAGAGGGAGACCCGCAAACGGTAGAGAACTCCCCAGCTCCCCCGAACCAGACCGAACCACATCAGACCAAACGCAACAGCGGCCATGTCGCTCAACAGAGTGGATTCTTTTCCTTCTCGTTCTACATCAGTCAACGGAGGGGTGGAGTCTTATTCTAGTCGGAAGATTCAAGGCTTTGTGGGAGGTTGCAGAAATGCCTGGCCGAGACAGTCTAATGGAGATGCCGAGTCCCCAAAAGCCCGGGTTGACTTTGGTTTTTCTGCCCAGAGCCTGCCACCTCTAAGGTAGGCAGTGCAAGGTTTTCTACCGAGAAAATGAGCCCAGACAGAAGCTTCAGAGGGTGGGGGACTAGAGTGGAGCAGAAAGAGGAAAGACATGAGTAAATATGAGGAAGGGGCAGATTTTGCTGCGATTTTAGAGAAAGCCGTGACAGCCTCTCTGTGAACCCCGAAACTTAAGGGAAACTTAAGGGAAACTTAGGGCTGGCCTGTAAGTCTTAGCTCTACCACCGTTTTATCATGAAAGTGCAGGATATTCTTATTCTACTACCTCACAATGTCACAGTATTCTCAACTGTCAGCAGGTACTAACACCTTATCCTCGCTGTATCACAGGATTATTGGAAGAATACTATGATGCAATTAAAATGAAAACGCTTTGAAAAATAGGCATGGTAGTTGTAAGTTAATGTCAACTACTAGATAACTGAGTTATGCCCATTAATTCCTTTGGGAAATATTTACTGAGCATCTTCTATGTGCTAAACTGGCAATGACAAAGTAAGTCATGTGCTATTTCTTCCCTCTCTTATGGCAGATCAACCTTACTTGCCCTTGTCATCCCCTATCCCTAGGCTGAATCCAGAAGCACTCCCCGAATCTCTCTCAGTCCAATATTCAAGAAATATCATTGTCTTAGTCACTGGAAAGGCAAAAGTAAATAGGTGCAGGTCCTGCTATCAAGGAAGTGAAGACCATGTGCATACATATTCAATGAAACAATACAATGTGATATGCGTTATAGCATGTGATGTCTGTATGAACAAGGTACCACCGAGGCAGAAAGAAAGGACAGACTGGGTTTGCCTAGTGAAGTCCTTTCTGCATCATGAAGGCGACATCTGAGCTTCAAACAAGTGATGAAAACACTAGGCTCCCATGTATCAAGTACCTACAGTGTGCCAGGTGCTTCACAAACATCTCAGATCTTTATAATAACCTAAAAAATAACAGTCCATGTCACAGATGAAGAAACAGAGGTTCAGGGAGGTACCCAAGTCCACAGGGCTAGGAAGTGGTGGTACTCGGATCTGAATCCAATTCTGCCTGGCTCTTCCCATCCCCCACTGCAGGAGATGGCAGTGATGCGCACCCAGCCAACCCTGACCCTGTACCAATTCTCCAGTCAAATTAAAAGCTAAAGTGGTGGAGGATCAGAACATGTTCTTGTTTAATATAACCCATGCCATGGAAATGTCTTGCGGAGAAAACATGAAGTATTGTATTTATGGAGTATGCTGCAATTAACAGTAATGCATTTTCACTGTAGGAAGTTGGAAACTAACACATTTTCATGAAGACTTGATTAAACAGTTTTTCCTCTTTGAAGGCCTCCATGTGCCCCACTCACCAACTCTGTGTGTTAAAATACATAATGCCTCTGCTCTAGAGTGGACTCTTCTCAAACAGCACTAGCAGTGAGTGACTTGAGTAAGCATTGAATGTAAATGGCATCATTATAAGGATATTAAGAGGTCAAACTGTCAAGGCCCCTTGCTAAACTGAAGCTAATTTCAGGAGTCATATTCGCACAGTAATGCTCTTTTGTAATAGCAAATAAATCACATTTGCAACAATTCTTAAAAAACGAACTGCCAAGTATCTGTTGCAGTTGTAAACATCCTATTTGTCAACTTAAATATTTCCTGCTGCATGGCATGAAATGGAAATCAGATGGGGACAGCTACTTTCCCTTAATGTGAGAACGTGAACTTGATGCTCTTGTATGCCAGGCATTTTGTTTCAGAGCTTCTACTTTAATGTTTTGGAGTCCTTGATCAAAGGGAAACGTATGTAACACACATCATTAATATTTATGTTAATAGTATTAATGCTTTGGTGAAAAGGATTTTAATGGAAAGGCGGCACAGTGTAGGAGAGTGAGGAGCAAGGAGTTAAACAGGCTGCATGCGGCCCTCACAGTGTGAACTGGAAGGAGTTGTTTAAGCTCTCTCAATGTCGGTATCCTTAAGTGTCAAAGAAGCAAATGCAATACCTACCACACAGGGTTTTGAAAATAAAATAAAATAAATGCACATAAAATTGCCTTATAAACTGTAAAGTTCAATATAAATGCTACTCATGATTATCAAACATTTCCTTTAAGAAGAGTAGATTCTTAGGAGACACGTCATCAGTTGTCTATGTTAGCTATTTAACAACTGTTTTCCCCTATGTAATCCTTGTGTTCAACACAATTCAGTCCAGTGGGTAGTTAGGTTTGGGCAAGGTTGGTATTACTCTATCTCCATTTTACCGGAGAGGATACTGAAATCAGAAAGAGGCCTCATGGTTTGCCTAAGATCACAGAGCATGGACCAACCAGTCTTTCTGGAGCCAAAATACTTCTGCTTTCCCAGGCTGCCCTAACCCGCCGGTTCACAAAGGAAATAGGACAAATTTTGTTAAGCCTTTTCCTCAACAGCCGGCTTGCCTGATTTGCTCGGATAATTGTTCTGTTCTCCATCTGGTTTTTCCATTGAAGACACCGCCTGAGGCATGCTTGTTTTGTGTACAGGGGTTCCTGCCTCCACCTCTAGACTGTCAGCCATTTAGGGGAAGCTGCCAAGTCTTTGTCTTTCCGAAGCATCCAGTGTCTGGGGCGGGGGTGCAGCAGGGCGCATTTGCAATCCCAACGTTCTGCTGCGAACTCTCCAACTTTTAGGGAACCGGATCCAGGAGTCTCTGCTGCAAATATTCATTGGCCACTTCCTCTGCGCCAGCCCGACGTTTTCACACGTCTCATTGAATCCTATTCTTGATTTGTTAAATTTAGAATGTACTCTCTCTCAGCACTGGGTACCCTCCGTCCCAAGTTATTGGCCTGTACAAAGGCACTGTGAGCGAGCATGGATTGTAAGATGTTTAGGCGGTGGCTTTAACACGACTTGCTTATAATGACATAATGACTGCCTTGGCAGGTTAATTGATTAGATTCGTGGGTTAGGGGAAAACATCACTGAAGGTTAGAGCTGGAAAGACCCTTAAAAATCACCTAACACAATCCGTTTACTTTATAGACGGAGCAGCTCCGGCTGGGGAGCGAGGTGGCCCGCCCTGGGCTGGGGAGCCGGGCGTGGCCACTGCGGGCCTAGAACCCCGGGAGTCTCAGCTCCCAATCAGAAGTCACTTGTTGCCGGTTGTTTGACTGAGTGATGATATTCAAAAATAATTTCTTAAAAACGGCTACAGTGCTAGAGAGATTCACATTGAGGCCTTAAGAGCACAAGTAATACAAATATAGTCATCTCAGCATTACTTATATTATTGAAAAAAGCAGCTGCCCAACACTTTGGCATCGGTTAAAAAGATTATGACATCCAAGTGATGGGACAGTCTGTGGTATTAGAATTAGCGGTGGCCTTTGTGAATGACTTTTCATGATTCGGGGAGATGAACAGTACAGGAAGAGGAACGCAGAAAGTTAGTTAAATAAGCAACGTGACTTCAGCTTTGCAAAAATAATATACCTAGAAAGGACTAGATGAGAATGTAACAAAATGTTAACAGTCGATGTTAACATTAGTGGAATCATGATAACTGCAATTATACGCAGGCTTTCCTGTATATTGTAGATCTGGACTGTCTAATATGGTTGCCACTAGCCTCGCGTGGCTATGGAGCATTTGAAACCTGGCTGCCTCAAAAATACACACCAGATTCTGAAGACTGAGGATGTAAAAAAGAATGCAAACTATCTCATAAATAATATTTTAGCCCGACTACATGCTTAAATGATAACATTTGGTTATGCTGAGTTAAATAAAAGATACTGTTAAAATTATTTTTATCTCTTTTTTAACTTTAAAAAAACCAGGCTACAAGAAAATTAAACATTATGCATGGGATTTGCATTTATGGCTTGAATTCTATTTCTATTGGGTTGGTAGCAAAGAAGTCCACTGCAACTTCCCAGCAAGGGGGTGGGACCAGTGGGGGGTGGGAGGGGGGGAAGGGCTGCCAGGGACCCAGCTCTCCACGGCCCTGAGCGCTGCCTACTGCAGCTGCATTCGGAAGCCTGGGCACGTGGGAACCCGTGGGCAGGGAGGGGGTCGGGCAGAGGGCAGCCTGCCCAGAAGTGCTCCGTTCCCAGGTTCTGTGCCACAGCTCTGGGATGACAGTGTAACAACATGCTTCTGGGGGGTGAGGGGCAGGAGAGAGGCCCGGTCTTGGGCCCTCTTTGTCTGAGGTGTTCCAGGCAGATGGGCCCCCCCACCCCCGCCTGCACCCCCTGCTGCTTCCACCTCTTTCTGGGGACAGGCGGGACGAATGGGTGGCAGAGCACACACATGTGGGCAGATGTGCTCAGGCCCTACATCCTGTGGCCGGCTTTACACGTGCAAATACGGTTCCACAACAAAGAGCTGGTCTTGCCTCTTGCCTGTGTTCTCTTACAGGCATCAGGGCAGGTATGGGGCGGAGACACTGATTTTATAGATCGAATAACAGTCATCGAAGAATCAGAATTTCAGAGCTTTGAGAATCCATACATGTTTTGCAAACTCATCCCAAAGTTTTCTTGTCATCTTCTTGGCCTTTTCGTTTTGTAAGGAGAAGAACCAGGGGTTCCAGATAGGGCAAATGACTTGCTAAAGGCCCCAGCTTTCTGTATCAGGGCTTCAGACAAAGATCTGTGACCCACAGCAAGTGGACTTCTCTGGGCCACTTTCCTCAACTGCTCACTGGGATAACAGTC